TCAACAATGAAGAGATCTGGTCCTTCTGGGATCCTTGAAATATGGCTGTGCTTGTAGATACCATTTTTCTGGTTTGGGTGCACAAGTAGGTATGCCATTCGTTAATATGAACAAACTGATTTCTACTCATTTTTCTCCATTTTTATTTAAATTATAAACAAGATTGTTTTACATGTCAATCCCAGTTCCCTTTCCCTCTCCTCTTCCCCTGCCCCCACTAACACTCTACCTATCCCATACCATTTCTGCTCCCAAGGGAGAGTGAGGTCTTCCATGGGGGATCTTAAGAGTCTGTCATATCCTTTGGGATAGGGTCTAGGCCAACCCCCGTGTGTCGTGGCTCAGGGAGTATTCCTCTATGTGGAATGGGCTCCTAAAGTCCACTCTTATGCTAGGGAATAAGTACTGATCTACTACAAGAGTCCCCATAAATTTCTGAGGTCTCCTCACTGATACCCACATTCACAGGGTCTGTATCAGTTCCATGCTGGTTTCCCAGTGATCAGTCCGGGGGCCATGAGCTCCCTCTTGCTCAGGTCAGGTGTTTCTGTGGGTTTCACCAGCCTGGTCTTGTTCACTTTGCTCAACACTCCTCCTTCTCTTCAATTGGATTCCAGTTCAGTTCAGTGTTTAGCTGTGGGTGTCTGCTTCTACTTCCACCAGCTGCTGGATGAAGGCTCTAGGATGGCATATAAAGTAGTCATCAATCGCATTATCAGGGAAGGACATTTAAGTTAGCCTCTCCACTGTTGCTTAGATAGTTAATTGGTGTCATCCTTGTAGATCTCTGGACATTTCCCTAGTGCCTGATGGAATTATAAGAAATCATTCTGAGCGAGGCAACCCAGTCACAAAAACACAAACATGGTATGCACTCACTCATATATGGATTTTACACATAGAGCAAAGGATCCCCAGCCTACAATCCACACCACTAGAGAAGTTAGGCAACAAGGAGGACTCTAAGAGAGACATACATGGTCCCCCAGAGAAGGGGAAAGGGACAAGATCTCCTGAGAAAATTGGGAGCATGGGGGAGGGGAGAGGGAGCTAGGAGAATGAGAAGGGGAGAAGAGGAGAAGTGAGGTGGACATGAGGGAGCTGGAAGTTTGAGTCAGGGGAAGAATAGAGGAGAGCAAAACAAGAGATACCATCAGAGAGGGAGACAGTACAGATTTAAACAGAATTCTACTTTTAAAAGATGACCTTGATTTTCAGCGTTTGTCTTAGCAAAATAATTCTAGGGGAAAACTGTAGTATGTATCAGTTACATGTTTGCAGTGTTGTGAACAAATGCCTGATTAAAGCAACCTAAGAAAGGAAGAGTTGATTTTAGCTTATAATTTGAGTGTTCAGTCCATGGCAGGGAAAGAATGGACACAGGAACATGAGGCAGTTGGCCACTTTATGTCTATAGTCAGGATCCAAGCCCAAGTGCTGCCTACATAGGGACTTCTTCCTCCTCAGTTAAAATGTCTGGGAAATATCCTCACAGACATACCCAGAGGTGTATATTTGTCACGATTCCAAATCTAGTTAAATTGACACTAAAGATTAAACGTCTCAGAGCTGACTTTTACTTTTTCTACATAGCTAGTCAAATTGAATTCTGTGAGGGAATCCGTTGGCCAGGTAATGAGCTATAAGAGTCCTAATCCTTTATGAGCCATTTGCACAGCACCTGCTTTTTTGCCACATTTGGACACCTCAAGATTTTTTTCATACATTCTATTTTGCTACATACATGAGGTGAGTGGTTCTTGTCTTCCTCTGCTATATGTTTCCTCTATCTATATGTTAATCTTAATGCCTATTTCTCTACACCCTATTGTCCTGCCTCACTGCAAAGAGGCCAAGGGAGCAGAAGTCATGAAGGCTTAGGAGTAGAAATCAAGGCAGATTTGGATAAATTCTGAGAAAGCTGTTTATTTTCATACTATTTATTTATTTATTTTCTCAGAAAGCTTTCATATATCTCAACCTTACAATATAGCTAGGGTTGACCTCAAACTCCTGATCTTCCTGCCTTTAACTAACTAGGGCTAACCCTGTCTCACCATACTGGGCTTCTATTATTTTTTTCAATCAGGACTTCTTTGGATTAGGGGCACACAAGTGATATAAATAACGGGGAACAGGGAGAGGCTTAGAATATGAGAGGAAACATGTCTATCAGTCAAATTCATGGAAGTTGAAGAAAATTGACAGGAAACTGTGGCCTTGTAATAGTGATTTAAACACTGTTGTAGCTCTCATCCTCCGTTATCTGTAAGATGTACAATGCCAGGATTGTACCTCAAATTGTACATCAAATTAGGTACCAGAATCTTCATATCAAAGCAGATATAGACAGGTTGGATAGATGACAGATAGAATGAGAGATGATGGATGATGGTGATTTATACATTGACTAGAATTAAAGAAATAATTTTCCTCAGAGGATGCTTGAATGGAAAAAACACATTTAAAAGATGTGTTCATTTTCATGACTTAATAGAGAACTGAAAATTAAGAGTATACTGAGACACTCTTTCAAAGAAGTCATTGTAGTGGCAAACAAAACAAAACAAAAAAGAAAAACAAAACCCCAAGACAAAGATAAAAAACTACAATTGTTTGTGGTACAAATTAACTGAAACTTCCGTATATTGCTAGTGGGAATGTAAATTGGTAAAGTCACTTTGGCAACATCTGTATTACATATGTTACCCAGCTATCCTCTCTCAGCTATTTCCACATGAGAAGTGAAAATATTATGTTCATGGAAAACACTGTATATGGATGTGTTTGTAAAGGCTGTATTTGAACATGTCAAAGCTAGAAACAATACAAATAGTCTTCAGCATATGGAAAGGCAAACACCTTGTGGTTTTTTCATAGCATGGAATGATACACAGAATTGTAAATAAGTGAAATGATGCACACTGATGGATCCCCAATGTGGTCTGCCAAGTGATAGAAACAAAACAGAAATGTTTGCAATGTATGGTTCTATTTATATAATTAGCAAAAAGACAAACTATAGACACAAAGTAGAGGAACAACTTTCAAAGGATGTAGCTAGTGGAAGGAATGACACAGATGTGAGTATGTGCATATTTTTTGGAAGACTGGGGTGTACTATATTACTGGGGTGTAGTGATAATAATTCTGTATGTTGTTAAAAATCTCCTACTATGGTACACAAAAAGGACTGAATTGGTAGAATTCTTGCCTACTGTGTGCAGTGTCTTGGATTTCATCCCCAGGACCATCAAAAGAAGGAAAGGATATACAGAATGCAAATTATATATCAATAAATCTGAGTTAAAATGTGATTCTTTGGGCTGAGTGAAAAGAATGTTTTAAATGTTTGTAGTAAAGAAATGATTTTATAGAATCCAGATGCTGTTCTTAGTTCTCTTGCAAGGTAGGCAGACCAATCTTGGCCACTACTTTTAAATGTAAAATGAAAAACTATCACAGACTGATGTCTTAATTAGGAAAGAAGTGGGAATGAAAGCAGTCATGCTAAGTTCATGCCAGTATAGTTATAAATGCATCCTTAGAAAATAGGATGTTTTTGAAGTCTGTTCTTGTGTGTATATGTATATCCAGAGCTCTTTTCTGTGTGAAATATAAGCCACTTTGTACCTGAGAGCAAATGGAAACTGGAAATTTCTGGCAAGATCATTTTTTTTTGGTGAGTATTATGCAATTGTAGCCAACCAGACTTTTCTAGTTTTCTCTAAGCAGTTTGGTTCTGCTTCCTTGTATAGGTTCTGTTTAGATAGCAACTTCAGAGTTGGCTTTTCTAAGGTCAGA